GCAGATAACTGGACTCTCTCATGGACTGGGTGGGGTGGCTAAGCCACATATGATCCAGACGCTTTCTCTGTATCCTGCAGGGTATGGCCTTTCTCCACAACAGCATTATTGCATCTCATGGAAGTCTCAAGTCCTCCAACTGTGTGGTGGATAGTCGGTTTGTGCTCAAAATAACAGATTATGGTCTGGCTAGCTTCCGATCAACTGCTGAACCTGATGACAGCCATGCCCTCTATGCCAGTGAGACTGATCCCTTCATCATCACTCCCTCTCCCTCCCTCGGCCCCCTCCCCCATCACCTACCTTTTATATTGTTCTTCAGGCCTTGATCATATCCTCTCAGGGAGATTATGAGAGGTAGACTAGTAGCAGTAACATGGGGATTTCCCCAAGGGAGGCTGTGAGAGGTAGACCAGTAAGTAGCCCAGGTAGAACCCAGGATGCTCTATATAGGCAATCTAGCCAGCCTATTCACTCTTTACAGAGAAGCTGTGGACTGCCCCAGAACTGCTTAGTGGGAACTCCTTGCCAACCACAGGCATGCAGAAGGCAGATGTGTACAGCTTTGCCATCATCCTACAGGAAATAGCACTCCGCAGTGGTCCTTTCTACTTGGAAGGCTTGGATCTCAGTCCCAAAGGTGAGAGTCAGTTGCTATTCACAGCCTCTTCAGCTAGGGAAACCTTGTTCTTCACCCGAATTTTCTGTCACCCACAGAGATTGTCCAGAAGGTTCGAAATGGTCAGCGGCCATATTTTCGGCCAAGCATTGACCGGACACAACTGAATGAAGAGTTAGTTTTGCTGATGGAGAGATGTTGGGCCCAGGACCCAGCAGAACGTCCAGACTTTGGGCAGATCAAGGGCTTTATTCGCCGGTTTAACAAGTGAGAGGGCACTGAGGCTCAGAGGCTCCCAGGGATAGAAACCTTATCATTCTTAGCAGATGAGGCGGGTAGACCCTGAGGGTGGGTTGGACAGGAAGTAGGTCTTGAGGACCTTGGAGCAGGTGTCATATCCTGGCCTCCCTGCAGGGAGGGTGGCACGAGCATATTGGACAACCTCTTGCTGCGCATGGAACAGTATGCCAATAACCTGGAAAAGCTGGTGGAGGAACGCACACAGGCCTATCTAGAGGAGAAACGCAAAGCTGAGGCTCTGCTGTACCAAATTCTACCCCAGTAAGACCTTTGTCCCCCCTTTCCAAAATTTCCTTGGGTCCTGCTTCATCTGACTTCTGAGAATTCTTTTGCAATCCTGGGAACCCTACAATGCTAATTCTTGCCACAGTGAGCCCTCCTGGTTACAGGCTGAATGCTCTCAATGTGTCTTCAAGTGAGCTGTGCAGCCTTCTTTTACCTTCCTGCCCCTCCTCCTTAGGGCACTGCTCTTCCTCACCTTTGTCTCAGTGAGTGTGCACAGAACAATTCCAACTGGAACTGCCTAGCCCCACGTGGGTCCCCTCACAGCTCCCCACCACTTGTGCTCCCTACTGTGTACTAGGTGGCAACTTCTCAGCTACTTTCTTTTCTTCCACCAAAGCCAACTTTCATGTTACAGCGAGGCTGTGCTGCTGTAACATATCCTGTCACATATCCTGTCTTCCTCACTCCCCCCTTCCCTGGAGCTGTGCTGACGGTGCCCCCTTCCTTCCTAGTTCTGTGGCAGAGCAGTTAAAACGGGGAGAGACTGTCCAGGCAGAGGCCTTTGACAGTGTCACCATCTACTTCAGTGACATCGTGGGCTTCACAGCACTGTCAGCTGAGAGCACCCCTATGCAGGTGAGATCTGTAAGCAGGAATGGGTAGCACTGGGTCCCAGGAGCCTCACTGGACTAGTCTGCTCTCGAGTTCCTTTGCCTTTAGGCTTGAGAATGGTTAGGAATGTGGGCATGAATTTCAGAGCCTCTGCTTTCCCATCCTGTTAGGTGGTGACACTTCTTAATGACCTTTATACCTGCTTTGATGCCATAATCGACAACTTTGATGTCTACAAGGTGAGAGCTGGAGCTGCCCTCCTTCTAAGACCCATTTGAAACATGGTTTCAACCTGAACCCCCACATGCCATATCCACTCCACAGTCAGTGCTTCCCAAGTTTCTCCACCATCCAAGTGTTCTTTAGTGGATGTGACTCTAGCAAACATGGACAGTCTTGTCTGACACCTGTGATTCTCAGGGTTCCCTAGTCACAGCCATTGCACGCTTCAGTTCCCCTCTCTCTGTGTGTTATTAATACAGACACCTTCCATAAGAAGCACAGAGGATGTGGGGTGAAGAGCAAGACACAAATACATGTTATACAGCTATTTGTTAAAGTCATTGAGTTGGCTTAATTGTCCTTGGAAGCAAAAATGTGCTAGATTTGAATACTGATAATTTTATAGATAATTATGCGGCCTTAGACAAGTAACAGGGTTTATCTGAGCCTCAGTTGTTGCAGTAATAGATTAGGTATATGAAAACTGATGGGCTGGTGAGATGGCTCAGTGAGTAAAGGCACCAAGCCTGTGGACTTAGGTTCAATCCCTGCTATGTATATGATGGAAGGAGAAAACTGACTCTTCTGACTGTGTGTGTGTGTGTGTGTGTGTGTGTGTGTATAAATAAATGTGAGAAATATTTCTTAAAAGTGTCTAACATTGAGTGTGGGGAAAGTTTCTCTTCTGACTGTGTGTGTGTGTGTGTGTGTGTGTGTGTGTGTATAAATAAATGTGAGAAATATTTCTTAAAAGTGTCCAATTTGGAGTGTGGCATATGGAAAATAATACTGCTGGGCATGGTGACACCTGTCTATCATCCCAGTATTTAGGAGGTTGGGACAGATGGATCAGGAGTTTAAGGTCAGCTTTGGCTACACAGTGAGACGATATCTAAACACAAATAAGGATATTTTAAAGATTACCAAACCCTCTCTGATGTTTCCCTAACAAAACGACAATAAACCCTTTACCCAATTATTTCTTTACACCGATTATTTATATTTCCTCCTTTTATTTTAGATGTCTTCCCGTCCCTGGAGTCTTTGTGAATCAAACCCATAGCTCTTTCCCCATGCTAAACTATTCTGCTCGTTGGCAAAATTCCAGGTCCTCTATTATTATTTTTTTAAACTCATATACTTATTATGTGGACCATTTGAGAGGAAGTCTTAGTATCCCTAATACTTAGTATGGGCTCCCTACACATTTCTCTGTGTGCCATAGTTTTGGTACAGTTACCAAAGTCAATTGGCTGCATCTTCTCCCTCTGACAGTCAGGCTGCCTGGTCCACGTTACTGAACCTACTTTACCTTCTTTGGATCAGGATCCCGCTCCTGTCCACTTGTTCAACACAAGCCACTGAATATTCACCAGGTGCGGGGTTACTGAGGAGGAGTTAAGTATTCCCTGTCTGCCCTGCTCTTATCTGCAGATCCTCAGGACCATGGCATATAGTTCCTAGTCCATCTGGCCAGTCATGGCCTCCCAGGCTGTTAGGATGACTCCTGGCAGTTCATCTTATCTCTTTCTCATTCCCACCGATATAGCTAGAGATGACCTCTTAAAAATAGTTTTATCATTTTATTTATGTTTATTATCTATGTGAATATATGCCACATGTGTGCAGTTGTCCATGGAGGCCGGAAGGTGTCATTTCCCCTGGAACTGGAGTTACAGGGGGTAACTGAATTCAGGTTCTCTGGAAGAGCAGCCAGTGTTCTAACTAGTAAACCTACAGATGACCTTTTAATCCTCCCTTTAAATCAGGTGGAAACCATTGGGGATGCCTATATGGTGGTATCTGGCCTTCCAGGCCGAAATGGTCAACGCCATGCACCAGAAATTGCTCGCATGGCCCTAGCATTACTAGATGCTGTTTCTTCCTTTCGCATCCGACATCGACCCCATGACCAGCTGAGGTTACGGATAGGCGTCCACACTGGTAAGGTGAATTCTCACCCAGCCCTAGGGTCTACTTGTCTGGGTCTCTCCCAACCAGCTTGTATTTGTAGGGCCAGTCTGTGCTGGGGTTGTTGGTCTGAAGATGCCCCGGTACTGTCTTTTTGGAGACACAGTGAACACTGCTTCTAGAATGGAGTCTAATGGTCAAGGTGAGGACAGCAGCCTTTAACTCCAGCCTTGACCTGGGTCTGTCTTGCTCTTTTCTCTTTGCAGAGTTCCTCCATATCTCTCAGTTGGATAGTTAGTTCTTAAGTGCCCTGTCCTTGGGCATATATTGATTCCCATAAATGTGTACTGGGAGGATTGGAGGCTTTCTTGAGGGGTGGATGACTGGGTAAAGTACTCTCCAGCATGTCAATTTTTCTCTTGCCTTTTCTTTGATTCGTCTTTCTCCCTCTGTTCCTGGCCTGCACTACCCCAGCTCTAAAGATCCATGTCTCCTCGACCACCAAGGATGCCCTGGATGAGTTAGGATGCTTCCAGCTAGAGCTCCGTGGGGACGTGGAGATGAAGGTGACAGCGGGACATGGGGTAGTGGATCATGGGAGGATGAAAGTTGGGGGAGAGAGGGAGATAAAGGCACTAACACAGGAGAATCTCAACTATGCCCACTCCCCTGCCTCCAGGGAAAAGGAAAAATGCGAACTTATTGGCTCTTAGGAGAGCGAAAAGGACCTCCCGGACTCCTGTAAACCCCAAGCCAGACAATCTCCTGCTGCTGGTACTAGGATGGGCAATGACCACACAACAAAAACAGACATTGTCATTTGAGATGGAACACACACACACACACACACACACACACACACACACACACACACACACCCCAAACCAAAACCCTGCCTTATATGGAAGTCACAGCCTTCTGCAGCTCAGCCTTGTACATATACCTGCCCCTTCCTGCCTTCTTGTAAATATCTGTATCTAGACCAGAATATTTTGTCCAAGTATAAAACAACAACAACAAATCATGGTGTTCTTGTCTGGGGTCTAGGTCTTTGCAAGGGAAGAATATTGGGTATGGACACAGCTACTCATGGACTCAATGAATCAGCAGCTTCAGCAGGAGAGTGCTTTATGTAACCCCCTCATCAAGCACAGAGAATTAGCTCAACCCACACCTGCCTCTGCAGTATGAACACAAATAGACTCCAAATTCCATGTCTACTTCTCTCCTCAACCCTTAGGCTGGAGTTGTCCTTGTCTTTCCACACCCCTGCCCTCCTTCCTGACAGGCAATCGAAGACATTGACTCCACTTGGTTGGGGGAATTCTCAAAATCATAAGGCAAAGGCTGCCCCAGAGACAAGGGCACTGGTGTTGAGAAGCTGCACTTCTTCCGGAACGGT